TCCTCCTCCTTCTTACCTCCTTACCGCAGCACAGATGGGAGGATTCGTCGTCGATTCGAGTTGGCGCCCGTTTCAGCGATTGTTTCCACCTTCCATTCTAAATTGTCTCGCCTCTTGGCTTTCCGCCTTGTTTCCTAACTGGGACTTTGAGCGCCGCCTCGAGCGTGTTTTAATCGTTCCGTACAGCTATTATTTCTAATTACACCGTATAATTCCTTTCTCCTTCTCCCTCCCCCCTCTCTTATTTTATTTGCACGCGATTACGCGTGGGAAAGAATGCGAATACGTGAAAGCGTTGTCGAATGTTTATCTATCTGGTGATTTTCTAGTGGAAATTTGATGAACGATGATATTAAAGAATTATTCGCTTTCTAATTATTTTGCTGTAATTCCTTTCCTACCTTATTTCATTTATACACGGTTATGTGGGGGGAAAATAGATGATGGAATATGTAAAAGGATATTTAAAATCGATCGTTCGAAGTTTATCTATCTGGTGATTTTCTAGTGGAAATTTGATGAACGATGATATTAAAGAATTATTCGCTTTCTAATTATTGTGCTGTAATTCCTTTCCTACCTTATTTCACTTATACACGATTATGTGGGAGGAGAAATAGATGGAATATGTAAAAGGATATTTTAAATAAATCATTCGAAGTTTTATGTATCTGGTGATTTTCTAGTGGAAATTTGATGAACGATGATATTAAAGAATTATTCGCTTTCTAATTATTGTGCTGTAATTCCTTTCCTACCTTATTTCATTTATACACGATTATGTGGGGGAAGAAATAGATGGAATATGTAAAAGGATATTTAAAATCGATCGTTCGAACTTTATCTATTTGGTGATTTTCTAGTGGAAATTTGAACGACGATATCCGATGTACGTATGTTTAAAGAATTATTCACTTTCGAAAGTTTTCTTAATAAGATCAAGCGCAAGAAAGAGGACTTCAATCGTTTCATCGTTATTTCTAATTATTTTTATTACTGTACAATTCCTTTCCTTCCTTGTTTTATTTATTATGTGAAAGAAAATGCGCAAAGATGGGATATGTAAAAATATTGAATCGTTTGAAGGTTATCTATCTGGTGATTTTCTAGTGGAAATTTGAATGACGATATTAAAGAATTATTCGCTTTCTAATTACTGTAATTCCCTTATTTCATTTATACACGATTATATGGGGAAAAAATTAATCGTTAAAATCAATCGTTCGAGTCGTTTATCTATCTAGTGATTTTCTAGTGGAAAAACGACCATATGATCCGTCGTACTTGTTCAAAGAATTATTCACTTTCGCGGGAGTTCGAGTTTTCTTGCATAATAAGATCAGGCGCGACGAGTGGAAGTGGGGGAGGGGGAAGGAGGAGAAGGAGAAGGAGAAGGAGGAGTAATTTAACGGTAAGAAAAGTTCAAGTACAAGTTCCATCGAGGTCGATCGCAGTCTGCCGGCGGCTGATGGCTGGCATCATAAACAGGTGCACTTTAACCCCTCCTCCTCCTCCTTCTCCTCCCTCCCCGTGGCGCCAGACTTTCCAGACGAATATTTCACTTTTGAAGGAAAGGAGAAGGAAGCAGCCTCGATCGACTCTTTTTTTTATCCCGGTTACCTCCTTCTTAAAGCGACCCAATTATCCTTTTCAGCATCCTTTTTTTAACATACGTTTCGAATTACGTTTTGTCGAAACAAAAGTTGGAAAACATCGAGTAAAAATTTCTAACATTTATTCGTTAGATATATATATTCTTCGTTCTATCTCATTCAACAGAATTCTCTCGATTTGTCACCTCAGGATGTCGATCCCTTTTATAACGAGCTTTCGGAATTTATTAGATTAAATTAGATCCCTCCACTCTCCCTTTCCCCAAACATTCCCAAAATTCACATTCTTTTATTCGCATCTCTCCTTTCTCCAATTTTTCGAATTATTCATATTATTCGTAGAATATTTGCAATTCTCCGTTTATATAATCGTATCACCGATTTTTAAACTTTAGAATAAAAAGGAGGGGGGGAGATAATCGATAACTCTTTTGCCCAAAAGCAAAGAATCCCCCTCCCTCTTCTCTTCTTTCCGTTTCACAGAGGGATCACAGAGGGAGGGACGCGAGTGTCCTCTCGGCGGAGAAAGGGGGAGGGGAGAGATGGAGACGTCGAAAATGGAGGCGTGCACACAATCGAAAATTTGTCACGTCGCGACAAATCCAACGAAGTAAATGGAGGTTTTATGCAAACCGGGGCTTTCATTTCTCTTCTCACCGGCCAAGTGCCATCCTCTGTTTCCACTCCTTCTCCTCCTTCTTCTCTCGCTTCCCCCTCCCTCTCTTCCGCTCTTTGTTAACGGCCCACTTCTGTCACGCGTGCGGGGCAAACAGGCGGCCACACTCTCAACGGCCACCGTTTCTTATCTATCGAGAAACTTGGGAGGAACTCGGGGAGGGGGGAGAGCCATTTATCCGCCATATCTCGCATACGGTGTTGTGGAGCACACTTATTAATCTTCTTAGAGATCTTTCTTTAATGTTTTTTTTTTTTTTTAGATATTCAAACGTAGGTTAGGTTATAGATATAAATCGTTAATCATTCGTTCGAGGAAAACTTCATTTGCTAGAGAAAAAAGAAAAAAAAATTGTTTCTTCGAACAACTTTTTATTGGAATTTAAGGAATAATAATACGAGAAGAAAAAACCCTCCGATTCGTTACTATTATTACAAACGATACAAGTCTTTTGAATTTACGATTAAAACGTTTTTTATTTAATTTCGATTCGAGATAAAAATATATTTATATATATGTATAGGCGTTATTGTTCGGTATAATGAACACGTATTATTAGATCTTTTCACGTATTCAAAGAGACAGAATAATAATACGAAGAAGATTCTACTCGCTATTACAAACGATAGATCTTTTAAAATTACAATAAATTTCCAATTCGTATGCGAGCCAATGCTATAGGATAAGATTAAGAGAACTGGCTTAAACTCGATATATTAAATTAAATTAAATTCGAGACGAAATATCTCTATTTATTTCAACGCGTTTACTTAATCGCGTTATTATTCAATGTATGAGGATCTTTAAAATTTAATCGAAAGGAAAGATCTGTCGAAATTACAAGCGAAACTTTATCTTTTTATTTCCTTTCGATTCGAGAACGAAACATAGAATCAACGTTCGTTTAATCGTCGTATGCGATACGCTCTTTTTAACTCTGTTAAAAGAAAAGAAAAGTTCTTTATTATCCTTTCCCTATTATAACACATATATATTCAAAATTACACGTAACCTATATATACATTCCCCTATATTTCCAACCATTCACCATCCCAGCTTTTCCATGGAGATCGAAAGATCTCCC